TTGCTCCAGTGAAAATGGCTGGGATTGAATGAGTTAATGAATCATGCAATCAGAGTGCGCCTCGTCTTTACTTAAGAAGCGTCACGGGGGGTTCAAAATAAGACCGGAAGGTCCCAAGGCGCCCGCGAGTGTTTGGAACAAAGCGTTTCGAGTATATTGAAAGCACAAGTGTTTGCACCTTTCTCATATGGTCACACTCAAATCCCATTTCGTGTTTCAAAGGATGGCGTCTGTGGCATACAAACATCAGGCACCAATTACAAGTAAGACATTTTGACTTTTTCCTGAGCCTTGTATTTTTTTGGTGGGGGGGGGCACCCATAGTTTTCTTGCCGAGGGCTGATTGATCAGACAACTTTCACGTGTAACGCAGAATAAAGCTGTATCTCAATTTAAAAATATTTGCGATTATTTCTTGTGTAGATTATTTTGTTGATTCATCAATGGCACGTGAAACATTAAAAAAAATAAAAAATCAGACATACTGTTGAACCTCGTTACAATGTCCGGTACATGACGAATCTGTGCCTTATAACGGTAGTTTGTTGTAACCATTTTCCAAGAAAATGGCCGGCAACTATGATGTAAATGATGAGTGATTTTATAAGACCGAAAACAAACACTGGTAGCGTTCCACTGGTTTGCCGTCATTTGCGAAAACATTCAGTCAGCAAATGAAAAATCGATTGATTCAATAATTGAAGAGTTGTCGACCGGTTTTTGGAACTGTTCATAATTTCCTCCAGAAACTTTTTTTTAATAGCCACTGTATATGGAATTCTTTGAAGTGCACCTTCATGGCGAGAAATTTACGACTACTGTCCTCTATTTCAGATACTGTGATGTATCCTGTAAGTCAGGGGTGTCAAACATACGGCCCGCGGGCCGGAACCGGCCCCCAAGGAGGTTCGATCAGGCCCGCAGGCTAATTTAAAAGTGAAAAAAATGTATTAAAGACATGGAATGAATATTTTTAATAAAATGCAATTCGTGGATTATCCGATAGGGGGCACCTTGTTTTGATCAGAGAAGAAAACAACAGTCTCAGTCTGTCACTGAGACAGACCCAACACAGCATTGCGCCAATGCTTCTTTAAACCAAAACAAAGGAAAGACATGATATTTTGGTTATTTATAGCAGAGTATGGTATAATGTTAATGGTCCGGCCCACTTGACATCTACCGAATCCGTATGTGGCCCACAATGTGAAATGAGTTTGACACCCCTGCTGCTAAGATGTCATCTGCATGTTCTTCACAATTGGACTGTAATCGCCGCCCTTGTGTTGCTCTGCCTCGACCACAGCTGAGCTCTGGTAAACAAGGCGGTAGTCACGCCGCAGCGGGACCTCCTCTCCCCCTGCCGAGAGCCTCTAAAAACGCAGGGACCCCCCACCTTCACACGCTCCCTCTCACCTCGCTATTTTTTTTTTTCCTCCCTCCCTGCAGGTTCGGACCGGCGGTAGGTCCCGGCAGTGATAAAGAAAGCACAGCTGTTCAAACAGTTGGACGGAACACAGTGGGGGGGAGGGGTGGGGGGGGTCGGAGGACACATCAACATATTTAAATCAATGATCTGTGCATGTCAACAGACCACCTGAAAAGCATGGAAAAAAAAAAAGACGACGCCTGAAAAGAAAGAATTCGAGCACTCCATTTTGCCGGCAATCTCCTTTTTGTATTAAACGTTGCCTTCGAACATGAATTTAAAGGTTCTCTGAGAGACGTGAAGAAGCATTTCAGTGATGTCAACCCCCCCACCCCCAGCGCCACCTCCCCATTCAAGTTTTATCTCCTAAAAAGTCTCCTGCTGCTGCACCCTCCTCCGCCAGGTCACCTATTGTTTGCCAAGCACGACGATGCCCGTCATGTATGCGCGGCTCGACGTTTTGGTTTCAATGGTTGCTTCATCAGAACTTGTGGACGTAAGATCAAGATAAATCATGAAAGCAAATGCAAAAAAAAAAAAAAAAGAAAAGAAAAATAAACCATAAAAAAGTTGGGTGAACTCAACAAACGATAACATTTCAATTTGGGCAGTCCAACTAAATATTTTAAGTTTTGCAGTGGGCTATGGTAAAAAAAAATTGGCTATCCCGTGTTTCACAAAAATAAATACCGTATTGGCCCGAATATAAGACGGTGTTTTTTGCATTGAAATAAGACTGAAAAAGTGGGGATCGTCTTATATTCGGGGTCTAGACATTATACCCATTCACGACGCTAGATGGCGCCAGATATCGTTGAAACCAATGCTGAACTGGACTCCCCAGGCCAAAGTGAACCCGTCACGAAGAATAAAAATAAAAATAGCGGTAGCACGAAGAAGAAAAATAAAAAATAGCGCTAAGAAAGAAAAGAGAAGAATATAATAGAAGAGATCACAGCAAATGGAGAAACGTAGCGACAATCTGGAGAAAGGGTTAACCGGCAGCTAAGGAGAAGTTATAATGTAATTTACATTTCAAAAACCAGAAGCCATTCATTTACGAATGTGATTGCACTTTAGATTTGAATGAGGCAAAATAACATGCTTTTCTCACAAATATATTGTTATAATCATTTGTTTCAGATGTACTGTAATTATTTTCTGGATAAAAATTAATTTGGTGTTCAAAAAGTCTTTTTTCAAACTTGAATCTTGACAAAGAGGGGGCCGTCTTATATTCGGGCCAATACTGTAAATAGGAGGTTACAGAATCGTTGTACCTTGCATTGATGTACCGGAAAGAAAAAAAAAAAAAATCTGCAAATAATTTTGCAGCAGACATTTTGCTCCAGCTAACATTGTCATGTTATTCTAAATTAAATTGCTGTTTTAGTCCCCAAAATAAATTAAGATCATTGTCGATTCGCTTTTGTTGAACATATTCAACTGAATAATTCAACTGTTAAAAATGTGCAAATGTTAAAAAGTAAAAATATGTCAGTTCATTCACGCACGAATAGCTGCTGAGTGCAATGTAGCGACTGTTGCTAACCAAAACCGTAGCACCCAAATCCATAAACTGTCTGAGATTGTCTCATATTCCCCAAAATGTCAACCCCAAAATAGGCGCCACACCCCTCTGCAGTTAACAAGAAATCCCCCTAGCCGCTAATTACATAAATGCTGCACCGTTTCTTTATAATCCAGAGCCATTTGGAAGATGTTGTGACGGCTGCATCTTTGCAGGGACCCCCCCGAGGGAGGCATTGAGGTGGGAAGGCGGCCTCACCTCACCCCCCTCCCCCTCAAAAGCTGCAGTGCCCGCCCGACCGCAAGCAGCTGGGCCCTTCCTTTTCCGGCCTTGTGGAAACAAGCTGACAGCAGAGGTAAACACCAAGGTGTGGAAAGAGCTTCTTCCTTCGGTGGTCTCATCAGTCAGGCAGCCTCGCACCATTTGAAGGAAAACACAGGTGGTGTATATACAATGTGGATAAGATGAATAAGAACTGTGCTCCTCTCTTGTTCTGTCACGGGGTGGCGGAGTGGACAGCGTTATTGGTCCTCATTCTACGACAATCACCACATTCCCCGTCATTATTCAGCGCGGATCCATTTATACTGGCAAATTGCCTTCCACGACAAAGTACCCCACCGCTGTCTTTGGTCCCTAACACAAAAATTAAACAGAAATTGGATTTTATGGTCCATTTGGCCAAAACTTTACTGCGCTCATAAAGACTAGGGGGGAGCTCTCCTCTGTGGGCGCTCTTCAAGGGCAACTTCTTTCAGACAGTGGTGACCTTATAGCGACCCCTGCTGTCGGGAAATGTCAGTGGCGCCAACTGTGTGTTTAAAAACAAAAATATAATAATAATCACTCGTCGTGATCGTCCAGCGATCCCCAACTTGACCCCGACAGGGACAGCTTGTCTTGTGTTTCTTCTGGCTGGACTGTTTTGGAACAGCGGGGTTCCGACAACTCTCACGTTTGTGTTTTTAGTCGCCGCATGAAAGCGATCACATTCACACAGGACGCCAAGAGCGAGGAGCATGGGAACGATCGCAGCCGATATTTCAAGATGTTTAGCGCAAGAGATTGTGGCATTGGATGAAACAGTCTCTTTGTCACGGTTAAGCATATAAATACTTTGCGAGGTCCAATGGACCTCCAACTTTCAGCGTTTTTTACATTTTTTTTATTTTAACGAACATCTCCACAGCCATGACCCCTGCTCTCCAATTTATGCGAATGGAACGTACTGCCGTCTCGAGCAATATCTTCCACAGGTATAAAAAAGACCGCTGCGACTTTTTAATGGCCACTTTTATTCTGGTAGCCGCTGTAGAAAACGGATCAAAACATTGCTTGACTGGCCACAAAATTAGGCACGCCTGCTTATGTCCAATGCTTTTTGAAAAAAACAAAACAAAAAAAAAAAAACAACTTCATATTTTGATGTCTCTATTTTTTTTATTTTTTTTATTTATTGTGTAAAAAAAAAAGTGGGCGGCCCGGTGCTCGACTAATTAGCGCGTCGGCCTCGAGCGTCACTTGCTTTGAAATTGTTGATAACTTCAGAGGACGGGAAATCGAGCGATTCCTTTATGAGAGGCCAAACGTCTCCCGCGCACCCGTCGCCGTACTCAGATAAACTTCTCATTTTGTTCCGGAGATGTACATATTGGAAAGGTTTTCTTGATTTCGTTGGATCTACATTTTTTTTTTAACTTTACATACAGCATTTTTTTATTGCACGTCTCGTGTGTGCTACTCACAACCACTAGGGGGCACTTTTCGCAGTGGCCAGGTGGCTATGATAGGCTGTGACGTATGAATAATGTAGCAGTGAGAAGTTTATTTATTTATTATTATTATTTTTTTAAAGTACGCCCTTTTGTTCACTCATGAGCTCGTCAGCGTTTACCTGACTCAGTGTCCCGTGCGGAACTGAACTGTTGTACGTTTTTTCCCCTCCCATCAGCCGAGTGCTTTTCCCCACGTTGTCACGTCACGGTATCAAACAGTTTTTTTTTTAATGAGGGGCTATAATAATTTTTCAAAGCAATGTTCGTCTTGGTTAAATCTTCTTACGAATGACATAATAGCCAACAGTACAATACAGTCCCGTCGAAGAATGCAACCAGTGGCGTGGCAATCCTCTGCCTCGAAAATAGCAACGTCGGCAACAGCACCGCCCTATGAGCGACACCAGCCACGTCACGCCATCAGGAAATTCAAACAGTCGACACACACACGCACACACGCTCACAGTCACACTCTGTACTCGCTCACCGAGAGCAAACGGCATCTTTCTCCTCCAAGGTCACCCAGCCTGCTGTACCCCCACCAGAGTCCGCGGACACCCACCGACGCGCCTTTTTAATCTCCTTCGAGGTAAACTAACGTTGAACGCGTGGAGTGGAGCTTGATTTCCACGGGATTAACCGAGTTTTCGTCTTTTTTATGAGGGGGGGTGGGTGGTAGTGGTGGGGGTTAAAATGATGAGAAATGTGTCCGAAAAGAGTGTTTATGTTTTATATGTTTTAAGTCTGCCCGTGTCTGTGTGTGTGTGTGTGTGTGAGATGGAAGACATGCGGTGGTGCGTTCACGTGTGATGGAAGACATTCGGTGGTGAGTTCACGTGTTGCGCGATCTGGAAAATCCAACTGGCGCATCATTGAAGTCCGCCATGAGTCAATTAAGTGCTGCTATTTTTGGAGCTCACTGCCTCTAGGCCCCGAGCTGTGTCCCTCTTCCTTACATCAGCAGCATCACATGCTAGAGACTAGCATCCTCCCCTTTTTTTTTTTTTGCGTGCCACATGTTGCGTTTCTAAAATTGGACAGATCTGATTAGTTAGCAGCTGTGCGAGTAGCGGTAGCTGCGTGACTCTTAATCGGCGCGGTTCGTCAGATTTGTTGTGTAAACATTTAAGTTGTGTCACATTGCTGTTTGAACGAGTGTGCTGCGTGTCCACACGAGGAAGACAATTCAGCGCACTAGTGGAATGCCTGTTTTACTAGTACTGTATCGTGTTTTTTTTTGGGGGGGGGGGGTCTTTACAGTATGACTTTCCTGAATGCTAATAGGACAACTGTTGTATGCTACAAGTGAGGCAAAACTGCACTAGTGGAGATGTCTGGTCACCAAATACTACAAATGAAGCAATTTATTTTTCCCAGTTGTGTCGCTTTATGACCTTTGAAAATGAGAAAAAAAAATCAGATGTCTTATAACACAATGCCCATCAGATGAAATGTACGTGATCAAATTGCGACACTTAATTTGATGTGGACACTTGGAGGACGAGTAGCACGCAATTGGAACGAGTTATGAGTGAGGTCAAAGTTCATGAATTTTCATGTGCTACCTGATGTGGCAGCCGACTGTCAGCTGAGTTTCGCCCCCCCTCTTCTACCTTTAGGCTCTCTTGCTTTTGTTCATTTTATTTTATTTTTTTTAGGATGGGTTCGGGATGGTGGTTTTGGGTCAGGTTTCAAGATCAGGACCTATTTCCATGGACTCCGAAGGTTTGTTGTGAATACAAATCAGCTTTGTGCAAACACTACCAACCACCTGATAGAGAACTTGCCATTGCCGCAGCGCTCACTGAAAGAGAAGCTTTGACTTCGATCATTCAGATTGCATTGATGACATCACAGCGCCTGACCAAAGCCACTTGGGGCCGATAGTCTTTTTTATTGAATTTTGTCTCTTTATTTGGAAATTGGGGCATTGGGATTCCTTTTTGAGTTTTTTTTTTTTTTTTTTTTTTAAAGCCCTTTTGTGCACCAAAAATGATCACCTGTATCCTGATAAACATGTTAGACTGTCCCCTGTAGTTACCGCCTGAAAGCGTTCAGTGCTACTCGTTGCTTGGGCAGCGCGCATTCATCCCGTTCGTTTAAAGATTCCGACCCCGGACGAGTGTATTTCCTGGATCAGCAGTCATATCGAAACCTACGAAGTGCGAGATGCTAATGCGCCAAATGGTTGGCTATTTCTGCCCGCCGGTCCAAGAAATTACCTTCGAGCCAGCTAGCATGCCTTGGCTTTCATCGCCACGCGACTTGGCTGGTGGGACGGACAGGGTCCCGGGGGGGGGGTCACTTCGAGGGTTTGATAAAGGGGAACGTTGACCACCGCTCGCTGTGAGAGATCGAGTTTCCTTTTGTCGAGTTGCCTGTAGTTAACACCTGTTTGTTTGGATGCCGTTGATATGTTCCAAAGGTCTCGTCGCGTAAGCTTTTTTTAGGAGTGCCTTTATTGTCATCATTCAGTCACGGACCCACCCCCAGGATTTGTCAGTTAACCTTCGGTACCAGTTCGGCAAACTCAAAACGTTGGAAGTGATCCTTCCTGCTTTCACGTGAGCCCCACCGTGATGTCGCCGCGCTCATAAATAATTTCAGGTGATCAAGTTACAGGACTGCTGGAAGTTGTATTGCGAGCGATTGCATCAGGTCAATAAAGCATGTCGACTCAAGTTTAAAAAAAAAAAAAAAAAAAAAGGTGAAAGGAGCGTCGCTTGAGCCAACGTATCCGATTGGAACACTCTACGAAGTGTTAGAATCCACACAGCAGCAGGCAGAATATTCAAGCACTCGTCAAAGCACGTCCTTGTCGGGCCGACAGACGCCGGCGCGCCGTTTTGGATTGGCGCCCGAGACAGTCAATGGCACTTTTTGTGATTAGATTTTTAAGACGTCGTTTTGATTTCTTGGGCTCTTGCCATCTCGTTTGTTGACTCGGTTTGCCGTGTGGCGCGGTGACACATCGCGAAAGAATCTGGCGTGTCGGTTTCCACCGAACGGAAGTTGTCGGCTCGGATGGTTGTGATCAGGAAGCAAAAGCCAAATTTCTCCCTTTTATTCATCGTCGGAATTTGTCAGTTTGAAGCTCCTTAAAAAGATTTTGCGGCGATTGCGCGCTGCCGCGACTTCAAGGGTTCATGATGTCGAGACACTGCGATCTGTTTTCACACGGTAAGCGCTCACGCGAGTGCATCTGGAAAGCAGTCGTTCGACATGAATATTCATCGTGTCTTTGCCGAAAGCAAATTGAGAAATTTTGTAAATTAGCGTTTATTCGTGTGTAAGTTGGGCGCTGTCTCAAAATCACTTGAGGGCGTTTTTTTTTTTTTTTTTCCCTCCAATATTTTCATAGGCGCTCCGGTTTCTGGAACTTTGCAACAAGAAGGGACATGATCAAGAATACAGCGGCTATAAAAAGTCTGCACACCCCTGTTTAAATGCCAGGTTTTGTGGGATTAAAAAAAAAAAAAAAATGACCAAGATAGATAATTTCAAAACATTTTCCCGTATAGCTCGATTGATTTATCTCGGTTAATTCATTCACTCCCAAAGACGTTTTTGAACGTCTTTCCAGTCTTGGTTTAGAATTGGCTGGGACTGAATGAGTTGATTATTATTATAATTTTTTTTAATCATAAAACCCAACAGTCGACCTGAGCTTTGTTTATCGGTTGTATCGACCAGAAATGTTGGCAACTGATCGTGTTAATGGGGCGGTTTCCTTTTTCTCACACTCGGGCAACCAGGTCACGGCTGCATTTCCTGTTTTTTTTTTTTTTGTTGTTTTTTTTTTTAAATGTTGCGTTGGCATTGTGAAATGTCAACTCTGCTCACGTGTGGGTGTGGGTGTGGGTGTGTGCGTCCTTTATTGTGCTCGATGTTGACATTCAAGGTTTGCAACCATGCTCACGAATTTGCTGTCTTCAGCGCAACCCCCGGACGAAACGCATCCGTCGTCTGAGCGATGCAAACGCCGATTAGAAGGCGACGCCGACGGTGTTTGCGTCGAAGAGCAGCGGCAGAGACCTTTGCCTTTGTGTTCCGCTGCGCGAGGGAGTGAAATAACTGCGTGGTCATCGTGCTTCGCCGCGCTATTGTTGTTTTTGTTTGCTTGCTTGCTTTTGTCAAACGCCTCGCCAGCCTGTTTGCTCCGCTCGGATCTGAATGCCGTGCTTCCGCTCAGTTTTCCGACTGCTGTGGGTCTTGGGTCTTGCGGGGCGGGCTCAAGGTGAATCGTGGGTTGGGCTCAACCTTGAGTCACAGGCAGGAACGAGCGCATGGCTCAAACAAGGGAGGTGGAATAACTGTGGGTCAGTGTTTGCACATGCTTTCCAGCAGGATACAGGTCTGCTGGTATGCCCCACCCCCCCCACCTCCTCCTTGTGCGTCACGTCACCGCTGTCGGTTTCTTGAAGGGCACTGAAGTCTTCATAACAGCCAGGCGCGAGTGACCTTTTTGAGTTTCTTGATTGGGGCCCCTCGCGGATGTTCACTGGGGAAAATGAATCAAGTCCGTCATTGCTTTTTGCACCGCATTCCCGGTGAATGACCACATCACAGGCGTGACGGCCGAGTCAGGATTTCGTGTTCGGCCCCCGTTGACACAGAACTCGCGGAAGCCGGGAATCGCCGGAGCTGTTGTGCGCCTCACAGCTGTTTTAGTTGTGCTTTTAAGATGCAGCTGGACCATGACACCCGCCACCCTCCCGACAAAGCAGCTTTTAAAAAAAAATGTATTTATTAATTTATTTATTTATGAAGAAGACTGCCTGTTCAACCTCTAAAACGTCAAGTCAGAAGGTGGAAAATTCCCCGTCGACTGCGCGCTATTTATAGCACCCCTACCCGACAGACCATCTACTGTATGGCATAGAAGGAGCGATAGTGCGAGCCTCCTCCTGTCCATGATGTAAAATGCTTTCCCGGTAATTAAAGGATCTTGCGACGACAGTGGTAGCTCTACTTACGAAATTAATTGCTCCTGGAAGAAATTTCTAAACTAGAAAATGTAAGTCGAGACACGTTTTCCATGTAAATGCACTAATCCGTTCCAAGCCCCCCCAAAATTCAGACATAAATGTTTTTCGAAAGCATCAAAATGCATTAAAATATGTCACAAAAACATGTTGGAATTCGATTATTGCACAATAAATGAGAATTGTGCACAATGTAAAAAAACAAAGAAGAGAGTAAAGAATAAAAATGATGGTCATTTAACTTAACTGGGTCCTCATCGGTTTTTTTGCCCCCCATGTTCTGTCTCAGAAGGGGTTTTTGCCTGGAGTTTTGTCAAGAATTGATCCAAGGACGTTTGCTTTTGTCGGCGTTTAACAATCCTTTTTAAAAATCCTTCCAAGGCAAAAATCGGCGTAGTGAGCGATCGCCCGACCGGTGAACACTTTTTCTGGGTGATTCACATTGACGTAAAACTCTCGGAACGCCTCATGGGCGAATGACGAGGACGCTGCATCGACACACATCTATCGATCTACACACAGACGCATATAGTAGAGGTCCCTCTTAGCCAATGGGATGCCAGGATGATGCTCGATAACAGCCAATGGCAGAGTAGCTCTAAGTATGTTGCGTTCAGGAAACTTGGAGCTGCGAGTAGCGACCCATACTGTATTTTTACCTTTTGTATCGGGAATTTTTTTCGTAACAAGAAGCAATAGTTTCCTGTTGAGGTGTTTCGTAACTTGAAAATTTAGTCTGAAGAGTAGAGGTACCGGTGTGCTTGGTTTTCTTCGATAGTTAATTCCACACCCCTACTTGGGATCTTCGACCATTCGATTTCCCCAAGTCCAAGCACAAATCGAACGAAACGATTTCTCTTCTCGTTGCAGTGAAGCGCCAGCGTCGGTCGAGAGATGCCACCCCCAGTCACCGGCCCCCCCGCCGTGCCCCCGCCCGACGGCGGCTGGGGCTGGGCCGTGGTGGTGGCGTCCTTCATCTCCATCGGCTTCTCGTACGCCTTCCCCAAAGCCATCACCGTCTTCTTCAAGGATATCCAGATCATCTTCGGGGCCTCGTACAGCGAAATCGCGTGGATCTCTTCCATCATGCTCGCCGTCATGTACGCCGCAGGTCAGTCGCGGCCAATTTGTGACGATATTTTTTTTGAAATGCATCGTCAGTTGAGCCAGCCAGCATTTACCGAATCGATCAGCCGCGTGAGTCGCTGTCTCGAGTATCTTTTGAAAAAGAGCCTCTCGCTGCCAATATTTGTTGTATGCTAATCCCACAGGCTTAATATCGGAGCTATGAAGTGTTGACACGTCATTTGCACGATTTAATTACACGTTTTCCACTCTGGCGCTTTGCCGTCGGATGACCTCGCAGCTCATTTGTTTCGTTTGGGATCAAAGCGGATTCATGTTACCAGATGTCCAAAGGCTTCGGCGCGTTATCAAGCGGCCACACTGTACTCTGAGCTGTTGTGTAAACATGCACGCGTACACACCCGCACCCACACACACACCCGGAACAAGAAACTAAACACGGACATCAATAGAAAGAAACTACGCACACGCTGATTCCATGACTATACCGACAACCCTACGGTGGAATCTTCGTTCCGCGCCCTCGTTGTTGATCAGTACAGATGGTGGCAAGCGCAGTCGAGAGAGCGGCAGGAGGATTACAGTGTGGCCAGATGGCAGCTCGCACAATGCTGCGGGCCTTCAGCCAAAGTGGGAACAGGAGCAGGTGAAGCCGAGCAAGGCCGACTGCGAGCATATTTTGACCACAATCCGATGAACAGAAGTGATTACAGACCGCGTCACGTCAGTGATTTGTAATTGATTGAGCATTACGGTTAGCTCAGTCAAGCAACGTGAAAAATTATCAATGGCGCACCTCCTTCGACTCCGATCAGTGTATCCCGCCTCTCGCCGAAAGTCAGCCGGGATAGACTCCAGCTCATCCGCGACCCGATTGAGTTCGAGCCGTATAGGAAATGAATGGCTTGATGATTTTAATCCCATGTAAAAAAAAAAAAAAAATCCTATCAGGGATTTAGTCAAATGAAGCCTCAGTGATTGGAGGATTGTGGCATGCGGCAAACGCGGTGATAAAAGCCTTTGAGGGCCAACGATGAGGTCATAAATGTGCATTTATCAGTGATTCCAAACTACAACCACGGTAATAAAATCAACATTTTTAGTGTGATAAGTTCCGGCCGAGTTGGAAGAGTAGAAGCTGAAAATTGTGTCGGGACGCTTTTCAGCATGCGTTACATCACGCAGCTGGATGAGCTAAGCATTGCTCGCCGGTGACGTGTGCAATCTGCAGACTGTGCGCCGGCGCGGGATCAGTGTAGTTAATCTAGAGAGAGTGACAGTGACAAGCGAGAGTTGCCCTTGGGTGAGGTCGTATTTGAGTGAAGGCGGGTAGTTGACGGGATGTCGTGGAACAACAGCAGCGCTTATCTCCTTAAGTCGGATGTTTGCTGACGGTTCGCGTCCACGTTTCACTGTAAGCTTCGCTTTTGTGTTATATCGACACAAAACAGGTCGCATTTTCCGCACGATAAGGCACACCTAAAAGTGTTCACTTTTCTCAAAAGTCGACAGTGTGCCTTAAAATCCGATGCGCCTTATATATGTATCAATATTCTGATTTCCTGGACGTCGTATTTTGAAATGTTCTGTCGAGCGCTTTGTTACAGCTGCAACGATTATCAAAGCTCGATATAAATAAAGCTGTATTGTATTGTATTCCCGTTAGCGTAGCTCCATCTAGTGGATGCATAATGCAACTGTAGCCTTTATTGTCTCTTCTATTCTATGCACCTTATACGGTGTGCCTTATACATGAAAACAGTTTTAAAAGAAGCCATTCGTTGAAGGGTGCGCCTTATGCTCCGAAGCGCCTTACAGTGCGGAAAATACAGTGTAGATATAATCATTTGCCACAATATGCTGTGGCTCTTGAAAAGCCAAAATGCTCGAAAATGCCCGGCAGTGAATAAGTTAAATGATGTCAACCTCATGTCAACCTGTTTTTATTTTGTTTTTCGTGCATTCAAAATGTTTAGTTTATTTTTTTTTGCATCAGAATAGCTTTGGAAGTTGCTTGGCTGATTTTTTTAATTAACCGTACCTCATTAAAATTGTTGTGCACGTAAAACATGGACATATCTCGCCACAGGACACCCTCTTTTGGGCGATCCAGGTGGTTCTATGACATTTTGATCCTCTGCGTGTCTGGCCAGGAGATGATAAGCTTTATTTTTTTTTCCCCCTCCAAGGAAGTTCATGTGCACTTTCCGTCACCCCTTGGAGGCCTCCCAAAAAAAAAAAAAAAAATCGGATCACTGGTGCGAATGCAAATAAGAGCAACTTTTTCCTCACGGTTAGAAACGGATTCACGTTCAACAAATGACGATCATCACCCGTTTTGATACGAGTAGGATTTCAAACGCTTAGTTTGGAGTCTCGTTGAGGTCCCGCAAGGTGTAACCTGCAACCCGATTGAATCATCAGGCATCCTCTCCTTCTGATCTTTTGTGTGTGTGTGTGTGTGTGTGTGTGTGTGTGTGTGTGTGTGTGTGTGTGTGTGTGTGTGTGTGTGTGTGTGTGTTTTTCCCCAGGTCCCGTCAGCAGCGTGCTCGTGAACACTTACGGCTGCAGACCCATCGTCATGGTGGGGGGCTGCCTGTGCGCCGTGGGCATGACCCTGGCTTCGTTCTGCACCAGCGTGGTGCAGCTTTACCTCTGCATTGGCGTGATCGGCGGTAAGTCCCTCGCAATCCACTTAACTCGGCTCCCTTGATGAGCTTCTGCCTCGAAATAGGCGGCCGGAAACGAATCGGACGGAAAAGTGTTGACGTGTCAGGTTAATGTGATCGGGTTGTATTTTTAGATATCAGATGAGCATTATTCACTCTGATGTTGACATACTCCGATTCCGTAATGTGCATTCAAATCCACTTTTCCTGAAGCCAACATGACACGTGTTTGTATTTTAATGATGGAAAAAAAAACAAAACAACAACTCAATAACCAAGCCAGTGGCTTTGTCTATTTGTAACCTAATCATGCATTTGCAAACACCGCTAAAAGACCAGCGAATACAATTTCAAAATCTTCCACTAAAATACAAGTATGGGAAAATTTTGTTCAAGTCAGTTGCTAATGCAATATGAAAATCGTTCACAAATAATTTCATTTAAATGTGATGTAAATAGGCTGTGTGAGATGAAAAAAAAAAAAAGGAAAATATGTATGTAACATGCATTCAACTTGGCAGTTCGAATTAAAATTATATTTCTGTTGATAAAAAGAATTGTATAATTATTTTTAGAATTATTTTATATATATTATCAGGTTACCGAGTGCATGAAAGGGTTAAAGTGGAGTCCAATAAATGCATTTTGTTGCAGAATGTACCTAATACTTTCTGTAGCTCCAAAGTAACAAAACCAGGGCACGGTTTCCAAATGACGGGTGTTTAATAGTGTCTTTAGGGTTGCCCTCTTACACCAGCACCGTGAAAACTGTTGGTAAAATAAAATACATTCAGCAATTTACAATACAGAAACAATATACGAGGCTAATACAAAAATGTTGGCTAACGCTAACCTCATTGCCGCCTGCCACTTCGGAGGTCTTGGGCAACAAAAAAATACACTTTTGGGATCTACATGACAAAATATCACTATTAAAATCAGGTCTTACGTTTAGTTACATATACACAGCCAAATAAATCACAAAATACCTTCAACAGATAGCGAACAGTCCTTTTAGCTGCTGCTCTTCCTATATGTCTTGCGTTCGAGTGTCTGTCCGTGACTGGGCAGGAACCACCTTACCACATCGCAAGTCTTGCGATAATTGCCATAAAATCAAAATGACGAAACTTAATTTATGTACAAAATAAATATTTCACGACGTGAATAAATAACGTACATAAACCAAAAATGTCCTCTTTGCCTTGAAGTAGAAACAAAATATTATTCATTTCCAACTAAACTATTCTGATGACACTTACACTTTCTGTCATGAAATTAACTTTCTCGTTCTATATTTATGATCTCTTTTTTTTTTTCAAAAAGGTGCAAAAAAATAATAATAATAATTTAGGGGGACAATGGCGTGCGCAAATTTTTTTTTAACTTTTAAAAGAGACCCTTCCCTCCGTAATTATGTCCTTTCGGGGACAGCGGTTACGAGACATGTTGTTTTCTCTTATATTAACTCATTCACTCCCAAAGACGTTTTTAAACGTCTTTTCATACTTGGTCTAGAATTGGCTGGTACTGAATGAGCTAATTCATCTTAATGTCACAGTTGTGCATCAACCACAACAAATGGACCCTTATGTGTGTTGCCATCCACTGCCTTTATTTATTTATTCCCCCCCGCGACACTTGAGAAAAAAAATCACGATGTCGGTTATCATTATTTCTGCATGGAAGGGTTAACTGGGCTGCCAGAGAATGATAGTATCATAGTAACGCCAACGTAGGTGACGAATCTGATCTCATCTTTCCGCGTAGGACTCGGCTTGGCGTTTAACCTGCAGCCAGCCCTCACCATGATTGGCAAATACTTCTACAAGAAGCGTCCGATCGCCAACGGGCTGGCCATGGCCGGCAGCCCCGTGTTCCTCAGCTCCTTGGCCCCGCTCAACCAGTACCTGTTCAACCACTTCGGCTGGCGGGGGAGCTTCCTCATCCTGGGCGGCCTGCTGCTCAACTGCTGCGTGGCCGGCTCGCTCATGAGGCCCCTGGGACCGCCGCCCTCCAAGCTGAAAAAGGACCAAGTGGCCAGCGCCAAGGAAAGGCGGACGCCGTGGCAACTCCTCAACAAGTACCTGGACCTGTCGCTCTTTAAACACCGCGGCTTCCTCATCTACCTATCGGGCAACGTCATCATGTTCCTCGGCTTTTTCGCGCCCATCGTCTTCCTGGCGGCTTACGCCAAAGACATGGGGGTGGACGAGTATTCCGCCGCTTTCCTCCTCTCCATCCTGGCTTTCGTGGACATGTTCGCGCGACCCTCCATGGGCCTGCTGGCCAATTCACGGCGGATCAGGCCCAAGATTCAGTATTTCTTCAGCTTCGCCGTGCTGTACAACGGCGTGTGCCACATCCTCTGCCCGCTGGCCAACTCCTACACCGGCCTCGTGGTGTACGCCATCTTCTTCGGTTTTGCGTTCGGAATGGTCAGCGCCGTGCTCTTCGAGAGTCTCATGGACCTGGTCGGGGCGCCGCGGTTCTCCAGCGCGGTCGGACTCACCACCATTGTGGAATGCTGCCCGGTCCTCCTCGGGCCACCAATAGCAGGTACTACCTCCGAAATTGAATTACGTTGGGGCATAACAATCAATCTTTGGCAACGTCATGTTAGCGACGTGACAAATGATGGGAAGCTGAGCCGCAACATTCGCCCTACGGCAACTTCCCCAAGCAACAGTTTTCTGACGTAACCCTGGCGCAAGAGCCAAGAGGTGGAAGCAGTTGCTGAGAATTTAAAGCAACAATTACGCCCATCCCCAATTCCGGGATAATACAAATAGAATGTGTATGTTTTTTGCAGCTCACAATATGCTAATTACAATTTAAAAATATTTTTGGGAAACATTCACACGTTTTTATTGCCTTGCAGGGAAATTGGTCGACGTCAGCAAAAATTACAAGATCATGTATTTCTGCTGCGGCGCCGTCGTGATCTTGGCGAGCATTTGGCTCTTCATCGGCAACTTCATCAACTACCGGCTCGTGGAGCGCGAGCGCAAACGCGAGCAGTACAAGCCCACCGGGTCGGAGGATCCCGACGTGCCCCGGAAGCAGGCAGAGGCGGAGGTCAACGAGCCGGATGAGGAGAAAGGAAGGGAACCTATACAGCGGGAAACCAACATGTAAGACTTTGTTTTTTGTGTTTGTTTTATTTCCGAAGCTTTCTCACGCCATCGGTGCGAACAAACCGAGGTTCAAGCCAAGAGAGAGTGCCTCGCGGTGTTCCGCCTGCATCCTTTCAAGGTCCTCTGCAACTCCTCAAAAACTGTCAAAGGAACAAGTGTACAGAACAATGCATAAAGACTCATCGGATTCACTGTTAACTCCAAATGTTCCACATTGTCACAAGCACTCACAAAAAGTGGAAAAAAATCAACACATTTAGCGTGGAAAAAGCCAGAATGTTGCAATCAATGTCCTAGAATTGAATCAAAATGTGGCAATAGTGCATTGCTACTTTTTATGGACCGAACCAGCTCCCCAAAGGTCCAGTGTTAAATAAATGAGGAAGTTGCTCGCCTCTCAACGCACGGATGACCATTGAAGCTCTAAAACGGCTCCGACTGGTTGACCGTGACGACATCATTTATGCAAGGCAGTCAGCCCTGAGTATGTCGCCGAGCAGGAAATGCAATGCAAAAGCTCCTCATTGCAAAATACGACTGTTTCCCTTGACCCCCCCCCCCCCAGTGCCCTCTAGAGACCCATCGGGCAAAACAATCTGCGGCATAACAATCCACTCCTACTGTACGAGCTGCACTTATTCCTCCAACAAAAATAATCGGAATAATCTTGACTTCACCTCACGTAAGACTGAATGTATTCTCCTTTGCGGGCCTTAATAATGAGATAATAATGACTTGCGTAACTTTGAATAATATACATTGACACTGGTCACTTCATTAGGTACACTGAAGAGGTCCGGTAACTAAGAATTGTGATTGTTTTCCCACAGAACTTGAATGATATCATGTTTATTTTCTCCTTTTGCCTCATGAGCAGATTTTATTTGGGTCGCCGTTGGGGCTGAACGATTTAGGAAGAAATTTGAAGCTTTTATTTTTATTTTTTTTTTCCACTCAATATTGCAACGGTGATTTAATATGCGAATATTTTTAATTCAATGGGGGGTAACATTTCGTCTGTCTTCTGATTCATGCTTGAAATCGGACAATGCAACATCTGGAATATGTCAACGGTCAAATTGCAGCCTTTGCAATTAGAATCTTTCATCATATCGCAATTATATTGCAATTGTAAATTTATCGTTTAGTCCTAGTAGACATTGCCTTAATTGTAACGGAAGGAATAATCCTGGAAGTAGTGGAAAGTTAGTTACTGAAGTCAGCAACGCTTATACGTGAAATTATTTTATTTTGTCTTTGGTCCTACAAAAAAAAAAAACATTTGTGCTGTTGGTGCATTTCTCTCCAAAGCCAGTCGTGCTGTTGACCAAAACCGTCCACGTTGTCACGTCGTTTTCCAAAGCATTTTCTTTCCAAATAATAATATTCCTCATGAAAGTTGGCCAAGTATGTCAACGTCAAAAAAAAAAACAGCTGCTACACATTTATGAGTTTCTAGTTCAATGGAGCACTTTATTTCATTGCGTTCCACCTGAGATTCTCCCCCGGAAACGGAGCCAGTTGAAAATCGACGATTGTCTAATTTTTACAGCGCGATTTTTTTTTTTCGACGTTAGCAAAGTCCACCGTCACTGTGCTTTGAATGACTTTGAATGTTTTCTCGTTGAATCGATTGAAAAAAAATCACTATGCAAACTCCCTTTTGTCCCTGCTGATTTTCAAGGAGCGAGGGGGTGGGGAAATAAGCCGGGCTGTCACATTTTAATGGTGAAACACCGCCCCCTGCTGTTCGCATCAGGTTAATCAGGCTGTGTGCTCGCTCCTGTTGAGAATCGTTCGAAGCTGTGATGCGCTTGAAAACATGTCGCTGCTGGAGACGGGACGTTCTCCTCTTTTATTCCATGTTGTACAAAGGCAAACATGTCTTTGTTTTCGAGCCGGCATATTTATTCACTGAACAAAAAAAAAAAAAAAAATGTTAGACTATGTTAACTAGAAGCAGACTTAAAATCTATCTGCTGTGTATTTTTTTAATTTATTTTTTTGGGGCTTGTTTGTTTGGTTTGAATTAGCAGGGTCAAAAAAAAAAAAAAAAAGAAACTTGGCGGATGATTTTGAACAAACACGGTTTTGCTACTGGGAGGTTTTCAAGTGACTCTCTGGTGCCTTATTATATTATATCATCATCATTAACATACACTTGCGTTGTTCAAACACGCGTGCGTTTCGGAGTCGGCTTCTTGTTTGAGTTTCCGTCAGTAAATAGCCGACGCTGAAGGCTTTGCAAATTGTCTTGTTGATGTTTGACCTGTAGCAGACAAATTTAAGCTCAACCTGATGTCATTTCTGGATGGCTTCACTACCTCTGCAGACGTCCTTTCGCGCTGAGGACAAACAATACAGCAGGGGGTGTCGATACAAATGAAGTTTTATTTTATTTTTTTCTGGTGTCTCCTTTTAGGTCAATAAAGTATATTTCCAACCCCAAAATATTGAACGTCTCTTTATCTATGGGGGGGCGGGAACAACCAGGTAAGATGTCATCTGATGAGGTATTTGTTCAAAGTTGTGATGTTTCAAGTTAATTTCAAAAAGTCATGATATACAGTACCATGAGTGGAAAAAAAATACTTGATGGTGAATACAATTTGAATGAAAATTTGACTGGATCCCGTACTTGAATTTTAATTTTGCAGCCAAAGTGTTTTCAACAAATATTTGAACGTATTACGTTTACATTCTCTTCAATATTTAAATGTAAACAATGTAAGATTTTCATTTGATTAAAAAAAAAAAAATGATTTTATTTTTTAAATATTTTTTATTTTATTGCAAATCATTTTATTGACTTATTTAAATTGCACTTTATTTAGCTCAATTTATTTACCTCAATTAAAAAAAAAATTCAGAGGTTGACAAAATGACAATTTGTGTTTTTTTTTGTTTTTTTTGAGGGGGGGTTGCTATTTCCGACCAAATACTTCATCATCTTGCAAGCATTTAGCATCCTCCAAAAAAAAAAATTCCTCCTATTTTTAAGTTACAATAGAATCTCCAGAGTCCAACACACCAGTTCAACTCTTGTTTGCATGACAGCCCCCCCACCCCCCATTCGCAACAATGCATTCCGTTTTAAATGTCCGACTGAACAAACACAATCGATTTATTTTTTTGTGTGTTCTCAAAATGATACATCGCAACCAATGCAGTACTTCTCTACCTCATGTTGGTGGATGAATTTGTGATGAGCAACCAAAGTCAAGTCCTTCTTGTGCTAATCTATCATTTGCAGCCAGAGGTGCCAAGAGGCAAGTCAGCACCTTGAGTCATAACATGTGAACGTGGACCCCCTCCCCCCCAATTAATAGTCGGCGCACACGCTCATCAGGATGGGACGCGCATCTCTCATTAGACTCAAAACGTGTGACTCCTCTTGGTCTTTGGCTGCATTAAACTGGCTTCATAATCAAGCACGAGTTGCAGGGGGGGCGGGGGAAGGAAGAAAAAAAAAATCCCCACCTCTTTTCTTCCCTCATTTGTATGCGCTGCCTCGGCGAGCCGGTGCACGCCGATGATGGCTGGAGACCCTCAGGCGGAGTTTGAGGCTAGATTTTAATGGGACAGTCAGGGTCAACCGGGGAGGAAAGAACAATAAGCCTCTGCAGGTCTATGTGATCAGCCGGACCACGGACCCCGCACAGAGTGATAAGATGGTGTGAAAATAGGCAGGAGGACGACGAGAGGGGGGTTTGGAGTGCATGCATATGACCTTCAAAAATCGCATCTGTTTCCGGCATGGCTCCGCTTTGCCAGAAATTCCAATAACAGCACTAATGAACTTACAACAGAGCACCAGATAGTTTATTAGGAGTTGCCCCCCCCCCCCCCAAAAAAAAAAATTTAGATTTTAACTAAGAAAAAAAAATCCTTCACCACAAGCAACTTTGAAAGTATGGCCGGTCAAAATATCATCATTATTAAAAATAGATTTTTGCCTTGATGACTTTCAATGTAGCAAAAATTTACGAAGCTTTTCAACTAAAAGTCAATTGAATTCGTGGTACAAATTTAAAATTGGTGTTGAAATTTAGAATTTGACTTTCTTCATTGTTTGATTCTTTCTCAATATTTTCAAAAACAATAATTTTATAAGTATAAAAAAAACCCACCCCGACTCTTATTTTGAAAATGTACCAGCAACATATTTATTTATTTTTAGTCGATCCACCAGCCGATACATGGAGCACATAATTTGATCAAGATAAATGCTTTATTTTATTTTTCATTTAAATTGCAATCTTACAAAAATGGCTTTTATTTGTATTATTTATTATTTTTTTAAGACAAAATCAAATCTAACCCCCTTAACACCCGCTTTTGAAAATATGTCCTGAAAAAAATGTATTTTTTTTTTTTTTTCAGCCCTACAAATTCTGACAAAAGTATTCTTTTGCCTCTCCTGGAATAAGTCCCGCGCTAACAATGGCGAGTATCAGTCTACACATTCCTATGACAATGCCGAAAGCCTACTAGAACATCTGAACTTTCTTTGTGGTTGCGCAAAAGCACTTTCAATGGCAACGGTTGTGTATGCCGACTTCCATGTCGCATGAGTTTGAATGTGATTGGCTCATTCTGAGCGCGGAGGGCCAGGGTGTGCACACTTTTGCAACCACATCATCTATTATGAAGTTTATCTGTACTTGATTTTTTTGTGCTTTTTTTTAATATTGTAAAAACCTACACAGGGGGTATGTAGACTTCTTATGAAGAGGATGAGAAATGAATCTTTCCAAGTGAGTGAAAACTGACACTCACTCAGTGGCCGCCCATGTAATAGAGCGAAGAAAACGGCCGACGGAGCATCACTCCACGTCGCTGTTCTCGGAAAAAAGTGTGCCGACAAAGCCAATAAAACGGGCAGCCCCGAGGTGCGATGACCCAAAATGGACCTTTTGACTGATCACTTTTGGCTACAAGCCTCGACCGTGTCTCAACAAGACACGCATTAACCTTTCCGCCGTGACTTTTTTTTATTCCCCCCCCCCCATCCCTTCTTCTCGCGCAAAGATGGTCCACTTTGAAGTGCCTCCATTTAACCTTCATTTAACTTTTGTGTCATGCGCTCCCAAGCGAGCCGCTCTGACAGCGGAAGCCTTTAGAAGTCAGCAAAAAGGCCCGCGGCTGTATATGGCCTATCAGCACATCTGTCTGCTGAGCTCCATGGCCCAGGTTGGAAACGGGTTTGCTCTGCTGCACTGAATGCGTATTGTCAGCAAAAAAAAACAAAAAAAAAAAAAAAAACATTAATGGCGCAACAAGTCAAATGATTTAACGCAACTACCAATTCCGTCACATGGAAACATCAGATTGAGATGCGGTTCAAAATGTTTGAGCGTGGCTCAGTTTTAATGAAAGTTTTGAGACTGCTTTTTATTGCGTAGGTGTTGGGTGTACCTAATTGTGTCCTACATTTTATTTTTTACACCCCCCCTCAATATGTCAGTGTTTGGCCGGCCCAGTGGTCGACTGGTGAGCGCGGCGGCCTCACGGTGCAGATGTGCAGGGTTCGATTCCGGCTCCGGCCACCCATGTGTGGAGTTTACATGTTCTCAGCGTGCCTGCATGGGTTTTCTCCGGGTATTCCGGTTTCCTCCCACATTCCAAAAACATACGTGGCAGGTTCACGAAACACTCTTAAATTGTGCCTGGGTGTGAGTGTGGTTGTTCGTCAATGCGCGCCCTGTGATTGGCTGGCAACCAGTTCGGGGTGTACTACTGCCGGCGACCCTTGTTGAGGAGACGCGGATCAGAAAGTGGATGGAAGGATGGATGGATGTCATTTTTAGGGGATTTAAATGATAATGAGCTTGTTGGAGTCCATTTTTTAATGTCTGTTATGAATTCCGAACAAAAACTCTATTCAGCATTTGTCACTGTTCTATGGAAGTTAGGTGTGTGCAATGTATGTAAATATGAATATGTACAGTATGTGTATTTGTATGTATGTGTGTATATATATATATATATATATACATTTATGCAGACATAAAATTACTGTGTGTGTAAAATAAACTGGTTTGTGAACAGGGGTGAGTAGCCTTTCTTGTTTTTTTAATCCACTGTACATTGATTTTTATGTTTTTAGCTGTCTATTGTCTTTTTTTGAAGGGCTTGTGAACAGGGGTGTGTAGACTTTTTTTTTTTAATCCACTGTACATTGATTTTTTTTTTTTATTAACCATCCTTTTTTAAGGGCTTGTGAACTAGGGTGTATAGACTTTTTTTAAAAATCCACAGTAAATTGATTTTTATTATTTTATTTTAGCTGTCTTCTCGATTGCCTTTTTTTAAAGGGCTTGTGACCAGGCATGTGTAGACTTTTTTTTTTTTTTTAATTCATTGTACATAGATTTTTATTATTTTTTGCTGTCATTTTTTTTAAAGTGCTTGTGACCAGGGGTGTGTAGACTTTTTTTAAAATTCCACTGTACATTGATATTTTTTTTAGCTGTCTTCTCAATTGCCTTTTTTTTAAAGGGCTTGTGACCAGGGTTGTGTCGACTCTTTTTTTTTTTAATTTTTTTTTTTAATTCATTGTACATAGATTTTTTTTT